TCCTTCTGCAACAGAATTTGACTTCCAGCCGCCGTGTTGTTTTATTTTTAAAATATTGGCCCCAGAATCAGCACGTAAAGTGGCAGAAGATATTCTGAAACAGTGCCCCATGAATAATGCACAATTCGGCAAACCAATCATTTGAGTAATCAATCATCTTTGGTAACTGACCACTAGTATTAATTCCTACTGGTTGTACACCACATTTACCATTTCTATATCTAACAAAAAATCTTTTGTGTTTAATATTTTCCGGGTTTAGGTTTCTATACTTCCTGATAATGTCAACGAAGTTTAGTCCTTAGGCCTATATCTCCCGGGGTGATTACAAATTCACGAATTACTCTAGTTTTTGTATTTGGAATATTTACTCGAAAATACATCTCCTCATTTGTAACATCTTCAACACGTAAAAATGTTAATTCTGACTTCCGACATGCACCGGCTATTCCCACAACCAACACAATCTAAAGCAAAAAATGCGAATTAGTAAACTGACAACTAAATGAAGCAATTATTAGTCACCTTAGCCATTAGTAGATTGTCATTCGCCCCCGTCAAAAACTTCGCAATATTACTTTTGAAAAAACGTTTGAATTCTTAGCGTGGTATCCACCAGAATGCCTTTTCAAAAATGCTATCGAACTATTGTATGTTTTAATGTCTATACCTTTTTTTTAAGACAGCTCAGTTCTCATATGCTGTGTCCATAGCGTAGAAGCCTTCAAATTCTTCTTACCTTCAAAATATGCCAATAGTACTTTCTCATTGACATGTTTTACTTTCTTCTGTTCACGCCATTTCTCAAATTTTTCATAAGCCAAGTCATATACCGCTTTGGATTTTTCAGGAATCAGTGAACATACGGCATTTCTTGCCGCTTCTTCGATACCGCTCGGTATATCGTCAGAATCTGAACAAAAATCACACATTTTTCCTAATAAATGGTAATAGTAACGATCAGCGTCACAGAATGAATCAGCGTCTATTAAATGTCGAACCAAATGACAAGAAATTTTAAACTGACACTGGCCTTCTAGATAATTGTTATTTAAATTATACTTATAAATGATCAAAATTAAAAACTTGTATTTCCCATTTTTCGCCAAAATTAGAAAAAAAAATCTGGTATGTAATACGTTATGAAACATTATTTTATGTAACTCGTGCGGTATTGCGGGATCTCGTTTCGCTCGTCCCGCAAACTTGCACTCGTTACATAAAATCATACTTTTCATAACTGATTACATAAATAGCTATTCTACAATTGCGATGGACATAGACTCGTGAATATAGTGCGATACTTGCGTAGGCGTTTCATTCTGATTAAATTAAGTATATGGCAAATATACTTAGGTCAATAGCGACTACTATTATTGTCCGCTGTTGATTGTGCGTCTGAACGACGTAGGTAATAAGACGCGAGAGGGTTGCTAATGTAACTGTAATGAAAGCTGCTAATTTTGAAGCTTCCTGTGATTGATTTCGTTGTCAATGTAATTTTTTAGGCAATAAAACTGAGTTGTGCTATTAGAAAAAAGATTGGATAGATAATGAGGAAATGAAAATATAGGTAATGCATAGAAAATAAAATAACATTCTCATACTTATTGTCAAATAGCGTGAGGAAGAAATGTCATTACCTAAGTAGATAAATAGAAATAAATTCTGGAGATATTGTTGTCTGAAATAACAGTATATGACTCAAAATCAAGCACAATATCAGTTTATGATATTGGGATCAACATATCTACAATTTTTAATCATTATTAGCGAAATTCATTACCGTAGTGAATATTAAACTTTGCAACGAGGCCCCTCTGCGTTTTAATATTTATGTTAAAAGCTTTAACTACAGAAAACTGTGAAATAGGAAATACCAAAAATAAAGTACTGGAAACAATGGCAATAAAGTAAATAATGTGCTTGAGAGAGCATCCTGATGCAACGAAGTAACATTCGTCAAAGGTATAGGTTTTGTCCGTTCTTTGCAATTACAGGTATTTTGGTATGCAACATATTATACCTATGTATTACTATAAGTTTTGGTGGTACAGTCAATTAATTTAATAAGTATTTGATGTACTGTACACTGCCATTGCCATTACTTTTTATTTTGAAAAATCGCGAATGCCAATGATAAATATTGTTTCATTACTCAAGTGGAATAGGAAAAATATTGTGTGAATTGTGCCTGAGAATATTCCTTTTACGTTAAATTTTCGGAAGTTTACAAAAAAATATTTGAAAAAGGCTGATAATATATTATTATCACTCAATAATGCCTACTTATTAAACTGCTACTCTCAATTCTTAGAAAATCATAAAAATTTCTAAAAGTACACAAGCTTTGAAATGAAAACAAATGTTATATTCATCTATTTTTCACACATTATGCTTTGATCTTCGACTAAGCAAAAAATCAGAGAGCAATTTCTGTTACTTGGAGCACTTACTGCAGCAAATAGCAGCAGCCAAGTACATTTTATTCACTTTTCTCAAAAACCTGATTTTAACAAATTACTGAAATGATCCAGATGTTTCGGATCCTAAATGAGTTAAATAGGTTCTGCAGCAAAATACGTAATAAATAATACATAATTTTGTTTTTTTTTCGCTCTAACATTTATTATCTGTAGCCTATGTGTACAATTAAAAATTAAAGGAAATGTAAAATAGTCTGTTTCTGAATATATCGTATAAGTATTTCACTTAATTCCAATGTATGTGGTACATCTAACAAAATATAATAAAATAAAAATATAGTAAAATATAATATATGCTTACTCAAAATCAGTATTTGACACGCCATGATAATTATTATTCTCGAGATTTTACGTAATCAGTAATTAACATAATCATTTTGATAATTTGGTGTTATTATGAGACAGAAGTATTTAAAAATTATCTCAGTTCTTGATAATCTCATTGCCTTCATTTTGATGATAGCCAACTACTATTATAAATTCGCTTATTAATTCAGAGCATTCAAATTAAAAACTTAAATCCAAAAGACCAGTCGCTCCAGATGGAATATTTTGCTATTTCTTTAAAGGCTTGTTAAAAGATTCTTCTTAGTTGGGAATTTATTTTGAAATAAATTTTAATTTCAAAAATCATGTGAATGTAATATAAATTCGATTGGGTTTACATTTAAAAAGCAGGTGTCGTATTACAAAACTATTAATTTCATTAACTACCTTTAATATTTAATTCACTTATTTATTCGGAATCAATTATAATACAGATCCATCCATCACTTGGAATTCTACAAACACTATCTTATATAAATTAATTTATAAAGTATTATAAGAATCCCATTAATTGTTTCGTAGAGAATTTAGTGGGTATTTGGAAATTGGAACACAGAAAATACTGGACAGAAATTAATATTCTTGCAAATTATTAAACGGAGCAATTGAAAGTCCATACCTGTGCTTCCCAAATAATATTTAATTACTAATGGCAATATCTGTAATATATGAGAAAAATTTAATAAACACAGAAATCAAACAGAATAGAATAAAGTAGATACCTTCGATATTCTATTAGCAAAATTTAACAAACCAATTAGACACACAACCTTTATATCTATACGAGGCATGTTCAGAAAATAACCGAACTTTATTTTTTAAACTGTATTATTAATATTATACATTTTTGGCCTTTGTCTCTTTTAAAGTACTCCCTTTTCCTATTCACACACTTTTTCCAGTGGTCTTTCCATTTTGCGAAGCAGTCCTGTGACGAATTTGCTTTGATGTCATCAATAGTATGGAAACGGCGTCTTTTCAGCACTGATTTTAATTTGGGAGTTAAGAAAAAATCGCAAAGAGCCAAGTCTGGCGAGTAAGGAGGCATCACTTTAACATTGGATCGAGACTAACGTGCTTGTTTGGGGCGTGAAGATCCTTTGTCAATCCATTGTGATGATAGAACTTTTGTATCAATGTCGTAGTCGTAAACCCAGATTTCGTCTACCGTTATGATCCTTTGAATGAATGTTTCATCGTCAATGGAATGTTCAAGGACTTGCCGACAAACGTCCACATGATTTTCTTTCTGTTGTTCGGTCATCAAATGAGGAACAAATTTTGCTTCACACATTATGCTTTGATCTTCGACTAAGCAAAAAATCTGATAGCAATTTCTGTTACTTGGAGCACTTACTGCGGTAGCAAATAGCAGCAGCCACTTTTCTCAAAAATCTGGTTTTCACAAATTACTGAAATGATCTAGATGTTTCGGATCCTAAATCAGTTAAATAGGTTCTGTGGCAAAATACATATTTATCTAATAAATAATACATAATTTTGGTTTTTTCGCTATAACATTTATTATCTGTATACAATTAAAAATTAAAGGAAATGTAAATTAGCTTATTCCTAATTGTGATACTCCTTGCCTACTTCTGAATATATCGTATAAGTATTTCACTTAATTCCAAATTAGGAAAATCAGTATTTGACACGTCATGACAACTTGACGCATGCTCAATTTTTTAGTCAAAATTTCATGGAATTACTCAATTGAGATGCTGACCTCTTTTGCAACTTCTCTGAAAGTCAATCAAGTGATGAGCACGCACCAGATCTTTGACTTTCTGAACTTAAGAGTCGTCAGTTGAAGTCGAAGGCCTTCCTCGTGGAGGATCATCTTGAATTGACTGATGACTACTTTTAAACAGTGAATACTATTCGTAACATTGCATACAGCAATTTTTTTCTCATTTTAACAAATATGTATTTAATGTTAAAACATAAATTAATTTCATAATGCACTTATATTTCTTTTAAGCAGACAGATGCAAGCGAAATTGTCGTAGCCTATTTGTTTCGTGTCTATGTTAAAATTAAAAATATTTTAGGAGATTTCCGTAGTATAGTTCCATGACCTTACCATGTAATAGCGTTGTCTGTTCTAATAATTAGTTTAATTTATTGCCTTCAATTAAGCCACCCAAATCGTTCAATAAATAACCTAATTATTAATTGTTTCAGGTCCGGTCTCGAAGCCTCAACCATTTAGATTCCTTAGAGATGAGGCAAGGGGTTGTTTCGTCTGCTGATGCGGCGCTGAAAGACTCTAGGTCCGAACCAGACTGCACCAGACCCCTCGTGGCGCCTCCTATAAGTCAAGAACCCACAACTCCGGTCAATGAAGTAGCTCCTGCTAGGAAATATATGCTTAGTAGATCACAGGTAAGGGCGAATGTAATTAAGTACAACTCTTAGAAAAAAATAAAACAAAAAGAAAATATAAATTTAAAAAGGTACCATATTTGAAGTAAATAAGATATGCTTAGAAAAAAATAACTATAATAGAATAAAACTATTTTTTGATTCATTTAATAATTTGATACAAAGTAGAAGAATGTTGCATTAAATTTACGTTGGTAATAAAGACAAAAATGGAAGCAATTAGAATTTCTCTATACGGTTGTACATTTACTTTCAAGTTAACTTTAACAATGAAATAAATTTCTCTTATTTTTCGGTACAACGAAGTTAATACATATTTTTATATAAATTCCGATCCCAGTTAGAGCCGATATCATTTATCTATATGTTTAATTAATTTTTTTTTACAAAACAAAATAAGAGCATTCTTCATTATCATTTCTAGGTTTATTTTAACAAAAACTATATAATATTTAATTTAATGCAAAAACATGTGAATTGCCATGACAATTGAATTAAACGGAATATTTTGCAGCAGTTCTCCATGTTATTTTTTCCTAAATGAAAGATTGTTTCTTAATAAAATTAGTCTTAACGTACAATCTAATATTTCCCATTTAAAAAACATTTAAATACCCACTGTTTTTGAAAGTATTTTCTCTTTTTAACCAATAATAAATTATAATTACTTATAAACATCATTGGTGTTATGCAAATTTTAAATTTCTACCACTATACAAATTAATTAATTTCAGTGATCGCCGCTGAAAATATAGCACTGATTTTAGAATTGAATTATCTTCCTCTTCAGTCTTACTCAAGAAAAACACATTTTCCAAAATATATCGATCACCTGGTACTTGCACAAATAATCGAATATTTCAATTTTGTGTCATAATTATTTAGAAAATAAAATAAAAGTGGACTCTAAATGAATCCATTTCCTTTTTCTTTTGCAATTTCTTTAGATTATCCAATTCATTGTGTTTTCACTTTATGTTGAAGCATTTTACGAATATAATACTAAAAAAAGTAGGTATCTAGTAAAAGAAAAACCAAAAAATACTGCTAACAAATTTAACTAAGCTAACAACTCTCAACCGAAAATAGAGTTCGTTTGGAGCCACAGTCATTAATTCAGCAAACCACCATCATCCAGTGGGAGTTTTTCCTACACTGGGGAAATCTGATTAAAAATCTTATCTACCCCATTTATATCCAATTTGTCTTTGTGCTTATCGAACTAACAGCAAAATTAAACGGTTCCCTTTAAATTAATTCCATTGCTTATTTTCGTCCCTAACACCGCCTTATGTACTTTTATCTCAACTAAATACGAGGTCTGTTCAGAAAATAACCGACTTTTTGTATTACGCTCTAATGAATATATTTAGTGATATGTGGTTGACAGCATTATAACCTCGTCTGTAATCACATGTTCTTGGATTGTTGATATCTCATTAGTTTTCGTTAGTCCAATGTGTTTAAGGCCAGCAGAACACTGACAGAACAAAAACAATTTCATACAAAACGTTTTACTTTACTGTAAAACGTCTCGACACACATTAAAGTGATAAAAACTTTAAATAACGAAACACTTTTGTTAAAAATTAAAACAGTTTTTCCCTTGTCAACGGATACTTATAAAACAAAATGAATTAATCAGTCGGTGCAATGGCGTCAGACTCGTCAGAGTTAGAAAAGATATTGAAATTTTGTGTCTGTGGCAGCGGTTGCTACTGTGTGAAGCATAAGTAATAAAATACGTCATTGGAGGCACCTTATTACTAAAAAGAGATAAAACAAAATAGTTTAAAGATATTTATTAAAGAGCTACGCAAAGTAGTAGTAACATTCAGCAATTTTACAAGGCTAAACATTGAATGTTTTAATTATGTTTTAAATGCAATAGAACACAGAATTAGAAAATGCGATATTAATACGCGAGATGAAATGTTTTCACACAAAACGCGATTGCATGTCCGATGACAAGAAACATGTCAACGCTTTGACAGCATAAATACAGTACTTAAAAAAACGCACTTTAGCAAAGCGTTTTGCCAGGCGATGTAACATTTTTGTTTCAAAGTAAAACATATTTATCAAACAAAAACACCTGCCAGCAAAAACATATTGACTTCATCTGTTTGAGTACTTTTTAAAATGTTTTCTGATTTATCAATATGGGTTGGATACTATTTAATACATTGGAAAATAGTTTCTAGCAAAATTAATCAAACACGTTTTGTGTGTTCGATCAGTGTGCTGCCAGCTTAAGTGTGCGACTTCCTGGAACAACAATACAACATAAAATTTTGCGTGAAACTGGGGAAAATGTTCACAGAAACGTTTCAACTTTTGAAACAAGCTTACGGAGATGATGCTCTGGGTCGTACGCAATATTACGAATTGTTTTCACGATTCAAAAGTGGTCGTCAGTCAATTGACGACCACTGTTCCTCGACCAGGAAGACCTTCGACTTCAACTGACGACTCCCAAATTCAGAAAGTCAAAGATCTGGTGTATGCAAATCGTCGATTAACTATCAGAAAAATTACAGAAGAGATTAGCACTTCAACTGGGTCATGCCATGAGATTTTGACTCAAAACTTGAACAGGCATCGAGTTGCAGCAAAATTTGTTCCTCATTTGATGACCGAACAACAGAAAGAAAATCGCGTGGACTTTTGTCGGCAACTTCTTGAACAATCCAATGACGATGAAACATTCATTCAAATGTTCATAACGGGAGATGAAAGCCCAGTTTACGGCTACGACATTGAGACAAAAGTTCAATCATCACAATGGATTGGCATCGGATATCCACACCTCAAGAAAGCACTTTCCAGTCTCCATCCAGTGTCATATTGATGCTAACTGTTTTTTCGACTTTAATGGAATTGTGTTTTGTGCCAAAAATCAGATTATTGTCCTTCCCCACCTTCCTTACTCGCCAGATCTGGCTTCTTGTGATCAAAGCTAATTAGTCACAAAACATTTCAATTCCAGAACTGATTCGCGAAAAGTGTGTGAACAGGGGAGCCAACTACTTTAAAGGAGACTAGGGACAATAATATACAAAAATTAATAGGTAATAAAGTATAAAAGAATTAAGTTCTTTTTTTTCTGTACAGACCTCGTAAGTCAAAATTTATTATTCATAAAATACATTTTTTAAAAGGATAATGAAATGTAAATCCATTCTAGTAGAATAGAACAGACTGAAATAAAATAATGAACCTCTTGAACTTGTAATCCTTATCAAAGTTATATTTATGACACTCAAAGTGGTTTTCCACTACCTTTGTTTTCTTAAGAATAATTGGGGCTTTAATTTAAACTGTTTAGAATCCTAAAAGCATTAAACCTCCTATTGACGAATGAGAAGGGTACTTAACCCAAAGATCGACCTGCTTTTCATCCTGTAGGTTGCCCGCTGAATATGAATGAGGATGAGGTCATCAAAGAACCGCCAATCCTTAAGTATTTGATCCGACATATTTAAATACGTTTTGTTAGAGCTCTTGAAATAATTCATAAATCAACCCATTAAAATTTTTTACGTGCTTTGTTTTATCCTTTTGTAATTAAGACGTTTTTTTTTCATATTTCATAAAGAAATGATTTAAAATTACCAAAAATTTAGTATGACACGACAGATTAAAGTTTGGGCAAAAAAATCTATAAATATAATTCAATAAGAAAATTATATAAAAATTCTAATTGAAGTAATTGACATGCAAAAGTATATTTCTGTATATACAGGATGTTTCTGAAATAGTGAAGTGCGTTCCTTGAAAAAGGTGATAGAGGATGCGAAAATGAGCAACTTTTATTCACATGAAAGTAACACAAAAATTAAACGAATATACGAATTACTTACCAATAGACGATATCTTTCAAAAAATCCGGTAAGGCGTTTGTTGAAAACTCTAAGGAAGCAGCACAATTTAAACCTGCAGGTTTCACTATCGGACCGAGTAATCTGTCACCAAAAACACCACATCACACCGTCACTGAAAACCGTTGCTCTAACCGAGATCTCTGTACAACGTGAGTATTTGCATCACACCAATATACCGTCTCTAGTAAAACATTATTCATCCGTAAAAAGTCTGAACTCTTAATGCATGCTAGGGATGTAATAATTGTTCCCCTAGTACACGCCACACGGTATTGTTAAATGTACCCATTTCTCGGCTAATGTCGCGAGTACTGCGCCTCGGATCTTCCTCAACGAGATTTGTGATGTTTTATTGGTTGTCGAAAACAATGGCAATAAGGAGCAACTGCTGTTAATTTAATGTTTTAAAAAGATACGCTATAGTTAGAGTTATTTAATTTTCAAAAAAATGATGTACATTTTTGATATCACCGATCATTTAAAAAAATTTGCTATTACGTATACAGGGTGTATTTAAATGGAGGGGCACAAATGATACCAGAGATTCCTTGGGTGAAAATAAGTCGATTTAACCTAACATACCTATATCCCAAGTCGCATAATAAAAAAGATACAGGGTGTCAAAGTGAAAAATAAAAAATGGTTTTTCCTTAATAATTTCTATAATTTTAGTCAGAAATGTTTCAAATTTTCAACAGAGAGATTTTTTAATGATGGGAAAAATAATATAATAATGATTTTTGAGTGTCGAGTACGAGGCGCCCTCTGCTGGCAACGTTATGCATTAAATACGTAGTAACTTTTTTGCCAACCCCCGTATATAGCTTTTAGTAACAAAATATGAAATATTGGACTTTTTTTAACAAAAAAGGTATACTTATTGAAAATGGCTAAAGCCAACCGTTTAGGAGATATTTTTAACTTAATAAATTAGTGTTACGGATTTATACCTCCACGAATACCAAGGTTCGAGTTGCTTAAATAAATTAAAAAATCGAGTAGATAAATGTCAGTTGATAATACTCGTAAATTGCAATTTTGAAGTATTAGTTTAAAGTGTTAATTGATTTTAGTCACTATTTACCTGCATCCTAGATATTAAATAGTTTTGGAATT